AAATAACACTTAAATATATGTAAGAGTTCCACACATAAGCCTTCACCTGGGGACATTTCTTCTGATACACATCGAAGTTCCAGTGACTCACGTACTATATTTAAATAACAAAATAATAAAAAAAAATTGAATAAATTGCACTTTTCAAAGAATATTTTCCTTTGGAGTATCTTCATCTATACTGCTATTATTGTTATTGAAATGCTACAGCATTGTGAGAATAACATCATGATATCCACTTTTAAGTACCTAGAAGTCAAAATATCAGCGGCTTTCAGCTTCAGTTAGACACTTAAATTATTCAGGCACTTCTGAACATTTGATTCATGGTCCATTAGTAGCTAAGCTGTGAAATTGAGAGTCCTAGTTACTGCAACCCATATTCTAACCAGCAGACAATTTCTCTTAAAGGAATAAAGAAAACCAGATATAGATATGGATTTCATCTTTTCTCAATCCAGAAACAACAGAATAAGAAAGTGAAAATAGTTATGACGGAAAATCTTCCAATGACATTTCAGTTGCTGTTTCAATCCTGATAAATAAAGGAATGTTATGAACTGTCTTTCAAATAAACTCTCTCAGTTACATTAGGGTTTTCCAAATTTTTATCTTATATCATGAATTTGTGTAAGTATACTACACTCTACTGCAAATACCAACACAGAGGCTTTACCAACCGCCTTTTGCTGTGGAATTGAGGGCCAAGGTCAAACTCATGTCCTAAATAAAATGAATTCATCTCATGACTGGTATATATTAGCTCACAACAGAAGGACCAAGAGTGATTGGCATTCTCTCTTGCAGCTCCAGGAAGATCTGAGTTTATAATGAAAGTGATTTATCTCTCATCTTTTCCAAATTGATCCTTCTAAATTAAAGGCAGAGACATTTTCACTCTACCTTATGTGAACAATACTTGATCTTTCAAATCTCAACTTTTGTATAAACATAGAGTCTTGTCAAATTATTTTATGTAGTTGCAGAACATTTAAAGTAAGTATATAGATGAGATACAATACAGAGGACTGAGGCAGGCACATTTAGAGATGCAATAACACAAGTTATCAGAATAGTTTCGATTTTAATTCAGATTACAGTAGCACAGGAATAAATTACCAGAAAAATTTCTTATAATATTCTTGTTTCAATGATGACACTGGTTATAGGGGTTTTTTCCCCTTTATTTTTTTTTAAGATCTGGTGCTTAGTTAATTGGACATGAAAATACAATGTAATTTTGTATTTATATGTAAATTAAGATTGTTTTGTGGTTCAGCTCAGATTAGATTTCATAAATTCATAAATTGTTTTAAAATTACCCAGAATGCTTGTCCTGTACTGGTATTGCTTCTTAGTGCTTAACAAAATTAGAAACTGTCCCATGTTTAGAATATGTCTTTCGTACTATTTCTGTTGAACCCAATAGACACAGAGCTGTGATAAAACAATCTGACTGAATAAAGAAATAAAGAACATGAAGATTTAAGTCAATTTACTTTTAGGATGAAGGTCACTTTTTTCCCCCTAGATTTAGTCTATTCTAATTTTTTTTAGATGATATTTTAAGGTGCAATATGTGTATAATGTTGTACGGGGCAGAACAGCTAACTTCACGAGATATTGATGAGTCCTAATGTACTCTCCATGTCAAAAATCTATCATCTTCCTTCTCAACCGAAAGTGCTAATGAAAGCAATGTGGAGCATATGAAAAACACCACCTTCTGCTACATAAATTAACTGTCTTTCCTCTATCCTGAATTACAGTATCCATGCAGCTGAGACTTATTTCCACAGAATAAGCCTATCAATACCTCTAAGCCACCAATCTCCCTTGTTTTATAGAATACTACACCAATGTTCTTTGTCCTTCGCTCTAAGAAATACACTTTATAGCTGTTTTGTTGTATCGTATGGGTAAATAACGGCTTCCAAAGTTTAAATTGAAGGGAGCTTTTACTTTGAACTCAGATCTTGTTCTATTTTAACACATGCTCTTAGAGTCATCATCTTGGGCCTGATCCTCAGGTGCTAAAATTAGCATAACGTGATTACCTGAAATAGAACTGCACTGACTCATGCTGCAAAGGTTCTGGCCCTGAGTCTTTAGAAGGGTTTACAATGGTATTTAATAAGGACTTATAAATGGAGCTGCTTTGGTGCTTAAACAAAGGAGAACACGCCTTAGCAAGTAAGTACGTTAGACTTAGAACTCGCAGCCCCTTGGCAGCTCAGATCATTAGAGCTCATTTAGTACTGGGCCCTCTGTAGATTTGACAAAAAAAGGCACTGAAAGCAAGTTGTATCCCTAAGGACAAAAAAGGAGGTCAAGGAGTTTTCTGAACAATATGTACCATAAAGCCCCCAAAGAGCCATGAATTACACTTATGAAGTTAAATGTCATTGAAAAATGACTCGACCATGAAAGTGACAAGCAAACCACCCTCGACTTAACCTAATTTGGCAATTTCACTTGTCTTGCCCAAACCAGCCTGAATGAAACCTGACAAATACGGCACTTCATCTTGTGTGCAAATTTGTTAATAGAACAACAGTGTTTATGCTGCAAAAATTGTGCATCACAAATATCGATTTTGGTGTCACTTTCATTTCAGGTAAATTGTTTGAGCAACATGACCATGATGAATATCAGAAATAAAAAGCTAACGGGAAGAAAAAAATGCTGACCCACTTGTTCTAATTCAATATCCTAGTTGAAAAATAGCGAATTAATCAACATTTACCATTCCTTTTGGAAGTTCAAATCAATAGAGGAGATTTCATATATTATATATAAATAGAGATATATTTATTTGTATCATTCTACTATTAGAATGGTAGAATTTTAATTCACACAAAAACTTTAAATAAGATAAGATGATTGCCTGCAACTGGAGAGACTATCAATT